GGGGGGGGGGGGGGGGGGGACAGATTTTAAAGCCTATACACACAGCAAACATTACAAGATGAGACTATCGCATTCAACCGTCTACACTGATCAAGTGCCTGCAGGAAGTGGTACACGCCCATCTCCTTCAGTGCTGACCGGTCACAGAATCTCAAAGCCATCAGACCACTGACGCTAGACACACTGAGGACCTCCCAGGAGCCCCAAACTCCATCCTGATCCCATGAGTCGCTGCAAGAAACAAAGAGAGCTCCACGGGGTGGGGCTGGAAGGGTTTGGCAACCAGCGGAACGGAGACCCGCTGCCCCAGTGTGGCTGTCACAACATTGGCATCCTGCAGCCGAGGCCGGAATGGGCCTTTCTGGGGACGGACAGAGGTTCCCACCAGCAGTGAGGCTCCAGAAGGGTCGCCCGATGACAAAATGACCTCTTATGAACCATTAAAATCCAGCGAATAGGGATAGAGACCTTTACAAGCTATAAAGTCCATGCAAACCACACTCAGTGCAACCGCGGGTTAACATGGGACAAATGTGACGATTGGCCTAGCTGCTCTGGTCTACACCCACCATCTCAGGAAGACCTTCCTGGGGACCTTGCTTTGCCCACTGGGGCGTCTGGTTTCTATGGTACAAGGCCCTTTGGCAGGAAAGACCCTAAAGCAGAGACTGATCTGTTTCATCATATGCTCTGGCCGACAAGTTTCCAAAGGTCACTTTGACTTAGCCCATGAGGGCCACGTGGCTCGGTGTGTGAGCCCTGCTTTCAAACAGGGTATTCCTGAGGCCTCTGGCTAATGTTCAAAGCAACGTGTTCGTGAAGGTTCAAAACATCTCCACAGAGAAATAAGGCACCTACAGTACAGACACTCACTGGATTTTCTGATCTATTTTAAGCACATTTAATACTCCGTAAAAGGCCTTAGAAATAGGGACAGATCTCTTGGTCTAGCCACAGGACAGGGACAGGTTTAGTTTAAACTTCCAGAATCCTGTTCTCTCTGCACCAGAGCAAACAAAGTATCGAAGAGATGCCAAGCACTGTGCTATTTCCTTGTTCTTAAAGGGACAGGAAAGGAACTAACACGCACAGAGAGCCAGCGAGATGCTGGCCCTTTTACCGTCCTCTAGACAAGGTCACTCACTCAGCTTAACTGACACAACACCCGGCCCCTTGGGACACGAATCCTTCTTTGGGGAGGGCTGAGGACCGGAGAGGTCACGGAATATTCCCCAGTGGAGGTAGACGGTGTGGCACTCCAGCCCAGCAGGCAAATGGGGTGGAGACTCACAAGCGTGGCATTCAAGGCCACCCCAAATGCTACCCAACCCCCATAGCTCCAGCCTTCACCCCTGTTCCTCGCTCTGCTGTGCCGAATCCCCGAACGGACCCGCCTGCCCGCTCCCACCGCCCTCATGCCTCCAGGCTCACACTCTTCCTCCCTTGAGTCCCACCTGCGTGCTGCATGTGTCCCTGCCACTCAATGCCCAACTCAAACGTCCACTTCTTCGGGGCTTCCCTTGACCCGAAGGGCTGAAGCTCCCTGTCCTCCCCTACAGCTCTTCATATTGAACAGAGAACCACCGTAACCTCTTTTTCAGTGTTCAGTCATTGAAATTCTCATCTTTTTCCCCATAGCTATTCCCTCGCTCTAAAGGACCAGCGTCATGGGGTGACTGCACGTAGGGGTGGGTTGTGTCTGTACATGGTAAGTGTCTGTGCACAGACCAGCGTCCAGCACGTCATAGACGATAGATATCAGAAGGGAAGGAGAGGCGAAACAGGCTATCAATGTGAACATATCAGGATTTCTGCACCTCCTTTGAAATAACAATCTAATGTTTTTATTTCTTCCTATGTCTCCAACCTGGATCTCTGAAGACAAACGCAGCTCAGCTGCCATTTAAGAATACTGGATGGAACTAGAGGGGATTATGCTCAGCGAAATTAGAGAAACGCAAAGATCATGTGACTTCACCCATATGTGCAATGTAAGATACAAAACGGATGGAAAAAGATTCTAAAAACAAGGAGGGGGACTCTTGAAAACACAAAGAACAAACTGAGGGTGGCTGCACAAGTTGTGGGAGGGGGGGATGGGCTGAATGGGCGACGGGCATTAAGGGAGGAGCGCTGGGTACACATCGGGGATGAATCACTGGAACCTACTCCTGAAATCACTATTGCACGATATGCTAACTAACTTGGACGTAAAAGATAAATAAGTAAATAATGAAATGGGGGGAAAAAACAAAAAAAAAAACAAAAACAAAAAAACAAGGCCCTGAGAAACCTTCCAAGCTCTCTGGAAGGGATGCTGACCCCAAGTGTTGAAAAGATGGATGTGGGGCGCCTGGGTGGCTCAGTCGGTTAAGCGTCCGACTTCAGCTCAGGTCACGATCTCGCGGTCCGTGGGTTCGAGCCCCGCGTCGGGCTCTGGGCTGACGGCTCGGAGCCTGGAGCCTGCTTCCGATTCTGTGTCTCCCTCTCTCTCTGCCCCTCCCCCGTTCATGCTCTGTCTCTCTCTGTCTCAAAAA